CTTTGGTCTATTTATCTGTAAAATAAGAATAATATTAGAGCCCACCTGGGCTATGTGATGTAGCCTGTTGGTCGTGGGCTGCAACCTGTAGAGAATATCACTGTGCTGAATACTGTAGGTGACTGTAACACAATGGTATTATCTATATATCTAAACATGTAACCAAAAGGGAAATATAGTAAAAATGCCAGGCAATAGGAGTTTTTCACCTCTATGTTAATTTTATGGGACCGGTTGTATTTAGGTGGTCTACTGTTGACCAACACATTGTTATAGAACACATGACTGTCTTAAAAGAGAAAACTCATGTGAAGTTCACACCACAAAGATTAGTTCACCTCAAATGTTGCAGACATGCATGGTATTTTTCTTTCAAAGATTTTTTTATTGGAGGTGGCTGCTGTTGGAAGGGAGTTTGGGTTATTGGTGCCTTTGTCATTTCCTCTCATAATGAATACTCTCAGAAATGAACACTTTAGGATTCATTATTGAGTCACCTCAGCTCATTAATAAACAAATTACTGTTTTCAAGAGTCATAGGACTTAGTAATGTTAATTTGAAGCCAAAGACTCCTCTGCTTGCTGCAGTGTTTCTCACTTTTCCAGATGTCAAGGTTTTCTGGAGGTTCTTTACTTTGTCCCTGGACTGTCCTTTATTGGGCCTAAAGACTTTGTGAAGATTCATGTAAATTACAAAACACACTTCTCTGTCATCGTGAATTTTTACTAATGATAAAATAAGAATGAGAGTATTTCTTTTAAATGAAGAGGAGTAAATTGAAATTTACTGTATATCATCCAGGATAACTAAATTAAGATTGATATGCTTAGTTCTGCTTTCTTTTTTTTTTTAAAGGCTGACTTTGTGGGATAAATGTATGTTTAAGCAAGTAAATTAAAATTCAGTTCTTAAGTAGAGGCAACATGTTTATGAAATATAGCTTTGCCTACATCCTGTGCTCATTGGTGCTCCTTGGACCTTTACATCAGTGTGTTCTTGACCCAAAGCATTGCCCGTTGTAACCCTATAGGAGTGGTTTTCAAGGTGTGGTCCTGGGAGCAGCGACATCAGTATCACTGTGAGTTTTTCTGGAAGTGTAGATTCTCAGATTCTACCACAGACTTTGTAATCAAAAGACTCTAGGGGACAAGCCCTATCATCTGGTGTAACATACAGTCAGTGAATCTGTATTCACACCTGAAAATTTCAAAACCACCATTGTATGGAGTACACATCTTATTGATATTGATAGACAAAAAATAGACCCTCTGAGGGTTGATTCCATTATTCGATAGCAAATTGTGCCAAGAGTTGTAACCCATCTGTACCTCCTTTTGTAAAGGGGGGATAATCACATATTTCAGGCTTCCCACCTGACAGTGTGATTTGACTTGATATCTGGTTTAAGTGGCTACTTTGGTATGGGTAGAATATATAGATTCTTACAGCTATGTGGGAGGTAGGAACAAAGCAGGTGGAATTGAAAATGGAGATTTATGTATTTTTGGGTCAAATCCTGCCTTGTATGTCAAGGATGCCAAGTTCCAGCTGATCTTGGAATGTTAGAGGTGATTATAGAGGAAGCCAGTAGGGAGCTGAGATAAATGATCATTTAACAGAGAAAATGTGGCTGGAAGCATAAGGTTAAGAAAATATTGAACTAAGGTGTTTAAATTTTGAAGGAGAGGAGGAGAAGGAATAAGGTAGAAATTGCAGTATCTGAAACCAATAAGGCAGCCCAGTAGGGTGTTCCAAAATCTAACTTTGAGCACTTTTGCTCTGCTAATTTAAATATTTGATGGCCTGGGATCTTTGCAGTGAACTGCCACCAGGGTTTTGATTAATATCTTGTGGGAGCTCTGATCTCTGGTAAGAAAAGAAACTGACCTGATAGTGATAAGTTACACCCACAGGTGAATTCCAGTTCACCTGAAAATGGTAATGTGTGCTGTGTGCAGCTTGTTGGAGCATTTATTTTTGCTCACCTCTAAAGTAGGTGGAGAAAAAGGACTGATAATATTGCTGTGATTTATTGGAAATATTGCTGTGAACTGTTATGAAAGTTATCTCACAGAAAGAGCCCAAAATATTTTAAAATTATTCTTTCATTCTATCAGACTTGTTTCCCAATGTCTTTATTTTTTGACATTTAAAAGTAATTTTAAAAATTAAAAACCCAAGCTGAAGTTCCACACAGTGGCATAATCCTCGTGAAAAATATATTTTTAGGCTGTGCTTTAAGAGTGTATGCTAAGAATATCAGGATAAAATAGGATGGCACTTCCTCAAAAAATTAAACATAAAACTATCATATGATCCAGTGATTCTCCTTTTGCGTATGCACTAAAAATAATTGAAGGCATTCTTACAGAGTTACTTGTACATCATCTTTCTTAGTACTATCGCTCACAGTTGCCAGGAGGGAGAAACCACCCCAATGTCCACCGACAGAAGATGGATAAAGAAAATATGGTATATGCATACAATGGAACATTACACAACCTTGAAAATGAAAAGTACTTGACATTTTCTACAACATGGATAAACTTTGAGGACATTATGCTGAATAAAATAAGCCAGACACAACTGAACAAGTTGGTATGATTCTGCTTATCTGCATCACACAGAATGGTCAAATTCACAACAGAAAATAACATGCTGGTTTGTGGAGGCTGTGGGGAGAATGGATGAGCTACTGTCTAATGGAGTTTCAGTTTGCAAAGATGAACCAGTTCTGGAGATGGATGGCGATCTATTTAATGATCCATTTTTATATGTTTCCCTATGATAAAAAGCATAGGAAAATAAACTTTTATGTAGCATTTTAAGCAATCCATTTAAAATATAATCAACTATAATAATAATAATGAACATCTGTGTTGGTTTGGGGCTTATTTTGCAAGGGGAACAATATAATACAGGACACATACTTTATATGATTATTTATAATAGTCACCCAAGGAACAGTATACAAAAGAGTGCAGGGAATCTGTCCACACCCTAAGACCAGGGAATCCAGCTGAGGGCCTGGATCCCACAACAATGTCCTACATGAGTTGAGCTGAATACCCAGAGCTCATAACAATGCCTCCCACGAATCCACCTGGAGGCTCAGAGCCCACAACAACATCTCATGCAGGCCTGTTTCATGAATCTGCTGGGAAGGCGCAAAGGTCAGTGGTGGAATCTATAGTCTGTGCCAGCAGGAAGAAGGACTTGTGCTAGCAGGTGAGGGATCTGCACTGGAGCCACGAAGTGATGCTCAGAAGAACCAGAGCTCCCCCAAAAGGTACCACGGCCATCCTCGGCAACAGTGAGGTCCTGAGCTCCTCCAATGATCAGGGTGGCCGAGTTCCCATCAGGGAAACCAACACAGCAAGCTTTTCCTGGAGGCTGGCAGTGCACCATCTTCCCCTCCAGAACTAGGAAGCGATGCTCAAAGTGAGGACCAGAGCTCTCCAAAATGAACTGAAGCCATTCTCAGTGCCAGCGAGGTCCCAAGCTCCTCGGAGGATGAAAACAGCCACGTTCATCAGGAAAGCCAGCTCCCCACAGCCTCTCTCAGCTCCCAACAACCTGCTTCTTCTTCTCCAGATCTGCCTCTTATGCTGCTGGCAACAGTCCTCAGGTGGGCCTCCCACACCCAGCACCACAGTTACTCAGTTCAGCTGGGGGTTATAAGTTGACCACCAGTTATCAATCCACTACAACATCTTTATGGGGCAAGCATGTGTCTAGGTGCTTTATTCAAATTATTCTGTTTAATTTCACAGCGTTCTTCTTTCCTCTTTGGTAAACACTATTATTATCGTCTCTTCTTTTACCAGTTATTTAAAATGAGGCCCCAAGAAAGGACAGGAAGGAATTTGAACCCAAGAGAACAGCTTCCAGAGCTACTTGCTTACAGTGAAAAGTAACGAGTAGATTAAAACAGTTACTACTGCTGTACTCATCAGGGAGGAAACAAAAATCCAAGATTCCAAAATTGACCCTGCAAGTTCCTTTAAAAATTTTTTTTTATTTTAAAGCAAGAAAAATAAACAATAAAAACAATGGTATAAAATTTCAAAACAAGATTATAGGAGAGTATCAATGATTAGTACATATTGCATATTATCTTCAAAGTAGTTGCTCATATTACAAGATATAGTCATGAAGAATTGATCAAACAAGGTCTGATTTTCATTACAAGTTCATCTGACCACATAATGGGTCTAATATATTATCGTTGTGGTGTACATGGAAAAATTGAGGCAAAGTGGCAGTTTCTTCAAAGGACTCAGTATTTCAGTATCAAAATCTATATCTGGCAGTGTGTGTTTTCTTGTGCAGATAGTATGTCTTTCTGAAAATTGCTAAAAGAAAGGAACACATATTTTAGAAATGTCTGATGTTATAATCACAATGTGTGCATTGAACTCAGAAGACTTTGTCTATGATGTTCTGTTTTAGCATGTGAAATTTAAATTTGCAAGAATATTGTGTATTTCTTTCCACATATGTAGGAGATGGCCTTATTTACCGTTACCTTGGAAACAGCAGTGCCCAAATGCTATACTTACTCCGTTTAGCACAATTAAAAACCATTTTATGGAGCAAATGTAATTTAAAATGTTATCCTCAAGCATGGATTTTAATTAACTTCAGTCATGTGAAATATATAATGATGATAGTGTTAAAGTTATTTTGAAAGCTAAGAATAGCTTTTTTTGTATAAAATATCAGTGCTGTAAAAAAACTTTATCTTAGTCAATAACTGCATGACTGGTTTTTTCTCTTACAAGTTATTTACAAATATTCTAATTATTGATAAAGTGCCTCGGTTACATGGTTAGTAATCTTATGAAGTTAAAAAATGTTGTGTCTAACTTTTAAAAATTTTCTTAGTAATTGATGAGATCTAAGAATCTATTATCAGCTACTACTTCTTTAATATAGAAGCAGGTTACGATGTTCACAGGGATATATGCTCACATATATGTGGTTTCTCTAATTTTAGGACTCCACTATTGTTACTCCAATTATTTTGAGGACTGACCCTCAGGGATTTTTCTTTTACTGGACAGATCAAAATAAGGTAAGAAATGAAATATTTCACTCTTATATTTTCCTGTTTCTTCCTGGTTTGCAAAGTTTTTATTTTATCTCTATGAGCATATTCACTTCAGAGATGGCCTTTTGCAGTCCGTTTAAAGACTTTACTTCTACAGAACATCTAAAGCCAAAAGTCTTAAGTCCTGTCAAGGATACTGATTTGAAAGAGCACCTTCACTAAATGCTGAAATACTTGGCATTTTTCCATTCCGCTTCTATTTGTTTGGACAAAAATATACATATGAGGATTACATTTAGTATACAATGTAATTAGACTCTATTACTTATTTAGGTCCCTACTCATAAGGAAGGAAGGAAATTAACCCAATGACCATACAACCGGTTTTTCCCCCTGTTCCTTCTTCCCAGTGCTGCCATTAAGGATTCTCTCAGCATCAACAAGAATTTGATCTTGGTAATTGATCATGTTGAAAATCAAGAATATGATCCCTTTAACCTTCTCTTTCAGTTTTCAGGAATCTTCCCATATTTTCTACCCACAGTACCATGAATTAGGTACCTACTTTATTATGAAACCAATGGATGATTCCATCTTGAATTATTAAAAAGTAGAATATCTGCAGATCATAAGATTCATTTGGGGCTTAATGGGCAGTTAGACCAGAATAATCATTGAATTTGGCTTTTACTTCAAATTTTACTGGCACATATTAACACTTGAACCTGACAGGCTCAGAATACACGGTATTTTGGTCATGTAACTTCTGATATTTGGAGATATGAAGTAGGGACTATTCAGAATGCTAAATACATTTTGAAACCAATAGACTAGCAATAAAAAGCCATCAGAATGGCTGGGAGCTCCACAATGACTGCTAAAGGAGATTCAAATTATTAGCTCTTTCAAAAGTCCATGTTAGATCTCTGGTACCCAAAGATCGTGGAGTTGTGAATTTCACCTTCTGCCTTTGGGGCAACTTCAATTACCTCCGTGAGCAGTGGTGTGGAAATGGCATGGTGAGGGAAATGGCATGGTGACGTGGATCCTGGTGGAAGGTTTTAGTGTAGCGAAAAACTATGCCTGATGCCAAGGCCAGGCCTTGCACATCACCCCAAAGACAAATTCCAGCTTTGTGGTCTTGTCGTTACTTTATTTTATCCTACGAGTGTCCTGGAAACATCTGTGACCACAGATGTGGGAATAAACCCATAGACTACACGAATGTCAAAAATTATGTTTGAGTAAGATTTCATACTTCATGTTCACGTTTATTACTGGGTGTGTTAATCACTTTGGTTTAGACATTCTGTTTGGTTTCCTGCTGTTATGTGTAAAACAATGGCTTGAAAGAGGGTTTGTTTTTCATGTTTTTCCCTCCTCCTGAAGGCTATTTTTAGAACTGTTGAAGCTATATTCATGAAAGATATTTATATTGCCTAGAGCTTTTCTAAAGGTTGGATATTTGTACAAGAGACCAAACTGTCAGTCTGATTTTTCAACTTGTAAATCAAGCTTCTATAAAAGCAACAGAAGATATTTTGGGGTTTTTAAATAATTCATGGCAGTTCAGTTAAGCTGTCCTTGAAGACCAATCATAAATATTTCTTTGCTTAAAGAAGAGAAAGGGTTTAGAACCAAAAGGTTTTTGATGCATCTCTGTTGTTCTGTGAACCCAATATTTTGACCCATGCCTAGAAAATGTCTTTCATTCTTTTACAGCAGCCTTTTTCTGTCTTGGTTATGATGCTGTTTATGCCTAATTGAAACAACTAATGGGATAGCAAGTACTTTTACTTCTTTATTGCTTTTCTTTTCATGGGTATTGATCTGAGACTACTAGCCAAGAGATAATAAACTTTACTTTTTTGATACCTAAATAATCCTTCAGTCATTTATCAGCTAGGAAGTTTATTTTTTAGTCAGTGATTATATATTTTAGAATCTAAAAGATGAGGGGATTTAAGGAAAAAATAAACTTACCGTGATTTCAAGTTTGTCATTTTCTTTCTGGCTTCAAGCCTGGGGCTAGAAGCAGAACAAATGATGCACACACTTCTAGGGGATGGATTAATGATGCTTTAGAGCAAATTCAGGCTGAAAAACTGGTGCATATGGGGGAAGCTGGCACACTACCGTTTAGTCGGTGTTTTGGCGTAAGATCATTTGAAGGTGTGTGGCCCAAGGGTGCAACCATGATGCGACTGAGAGGACTGCTTTCTGTAAAATACTTTGTTTTTTGGCATTATGTCTGAAGAATCTATTGCATATTGCAGAGAGATGCTATCTCAAAGGACACAATTGTATGCTTTAAAGTTTACTCCTTGATTTTTACACACTTGTTTTCCATTGGTGGAGAGCTAGCATTGGTATTTATTGTAATAACTTCTCCTTCTCTTTTCCCTTTGGGTTTTCCCAACATATTACCCCTTTGGTCCATGAACTTCTACTGGAGCACACTGATAAGAAATCCCGAAGCTTCCTGTGTGAATGGAGGATTGAGCATTAGTACAAGAGTTCCTTCCCTTCCTTCATTCCTTCCTTCATTCTTTCCTTCTTTCCATCTTCTTTTCTTCTTTCCTTCCTTCGTGGTGCTGGGGATTAGATTCAGAACCTTTTCTGAGCTACATCCCCAACCTTTTTCTCTTTTTAAGTTAGGGTCCCGCTAAGTTGCTGCGATGAGACTAAAACTTGTATCTTTCCACCTCAGCCTCCCTAAGTCCTGGTATTACAGGTGCAGTCCACCATCCCTGGTTAAGAGCTTTCTTTTTGATAGCATTGGAAGAAAACCGTCACATTGTACAGTGTCTAACTTATGTAGTTCGCTTGCCACCGCTATGTTAGACCAGCGGCAGTGCTTTCAAATTAGTGGCTTTTCTCTCTATAGACAATGCCATGCTGTCTCCCCAGCCCCTCCTTGGATTTGTCACTACAGAAATGATAGGTGAAGAAGAAGACAGATAGCCAAGATGATAGAGTTGGAAATTAAAAACAAAAACAGACCTAGCAAGTCATTTTGATGTAGCCGAAATGCGTTTTAGTGAAACATTGACAGAATGTTTGGGGTTGGTGGAAGCAGATAAATATGAATATCATTTTAGGGATAAATCTTCTTGTACCAGCTCTGGACTTATTTTGACACTTCTTTCTGCTTATTGTTGATTCTGTAAATCCTATTGAATATAATTAGCACAAACAAGTGTCTGAATACAGCTATTTTAAGCATGGTGGCTTTTCTGCTGCAAATGTAGATTATGTGAAGAGAAGAGTTTATTTCTAAGCCATGGATAGGAAGGAACTCCTGCCCGGCCTGAGTACTGAAGGGCTTGCCTACATTAGGATTAGGACTTTTCTTTGGCTCTATGCCATATGGGCACCAGAAACCATAACAGGAAGTTTTAGCCATAAAATCCATGTGACTACCAGAACACACCATGACTGTGACAGAAAGGCTAAAGAAGAAAAAAGGGTCAACGTGAAAGAGCTCACAAAAAACCATCCTGCTTGACTGTGAAATAAAGTGGACAGTTGCCTTGCAACTTGATGCCCTGCTTCTGTGCCAAGGTTGGTGTAAAAATAAAACTAGCCGCTACGAGTTCAGATCCAAGAACTTAGTGAGCCCATCCTTGTATCCCTAAAACAGAAGCTTGGGTGGGGGACATTTAATGAACTTAAAAAAAGACTGTGAGGAAAAAACACACATTCTCAATGATGGATTCTTTCTATTTTGCTACAGACATTTTATTTTTAATTTTGTAAGTGGTATCTAAATTTTTTGGAAGGCAGTAAAGCAGTATAAATTTTCCTGACTTCTCTCTTCCAAAGACCCCTATCCTAGTCTTTTGTCCAGTGTCAACTAGTGGTAATAACTTCCTGGTTTCTTCTTAGGCCTCTTTTTAATGACTCTGGACGTGCATAACTATGGAAATGTTTTATTTTGTTCTGTTTATGTCCATTTTTATCCTAGCTGCCATTGTGTTATTTTTGCCATCCCACAATTACTTTTTACTTCACAGGATGTCTTAGAAAACTTTCTGCGTGTGTATATCAACCTCATTCTTTTAAATTGCTCTCTTGTGTATGCCAAAGAATGGATTGCTGAATTTTCTTTAATAATAAACCAGATGCTCATTGATGGACCCTCGGTGTGTGTTTTTGAGAGCTACAGCACACAATCCTTCAATACAGAGCAGTAGTCTACCTTGTGTATCACTCTCTGGATATATGGGGCGAGGGTTCCCTAAAGGAAATGCTTTGAAACATAATTGCTGATGGAAAGCTATTTAAATCCTGATTTTCAGTTATTGGTTGTGTGGCTGTATAAACCACCAATGTTATGTGGGAGGAACTGCTTTTTCAAACTCCAACCAACATCGTTAGGAAACATTTTAATCTTTGCTAATCTGATGCAACCATTTTATCTATTTTAATCTACCCAAGACTGAGTTGCATATTATAAACTGTGTATATTTCCATATAGTTTCTTGGTCATTTCTCTTTTCTCTAACATGAATTACTCGCCTGTATCCTTGCCTTTCTGTTGATGGTTGACTTTGTATTCTACAACTTAATCCTTCAGATGTTTTAGGTGGTACAGATATGTTCTTCCTGTCTGAGGCCTGTCTTGCATTTCTTAACATCTAATTTGTGCTTGGCAAAAGATGACTCGAAACCTTCAACTTTGAGGTAGGCTTCTTTCAACCTTTTTTGTTGTTGTTGTTGGACCTTTCTTATGCCTCATTCTCATCACTGTCATTCTTATAAATCTAGGTTTTTGGTACCGGGAATCGAACTCAGGACCTTGTACTTGCCAAGCAGGCGCTTGTGCTGCTGAGCTATATATGCAGCCCTAAATCTAGGTTTTAAATTCATGCATGGTGCATTTTGAGGACTGGCTTGAGGTAGAGCTCTGACTTTAATTTCTTCAACCAGGTAACTCTTTGGTTTGGTGATGCCATATGCTTTCTGGTTGTAGCCAGCTGTGGCCGCACCCCACTGTTGCCTTTCTCTTGTGGGTTTCTTCC